GTATATTCTAAATAACGAGGAGGTTAGCGAAGGTCGACAATTTAACAATTCCTCAGCAACTACATAACGAAGACGTCTACCAAGGGCCTCACTAAGGTACTCTCCCGCTGGTACCGTGTCACGTTAGGCTCCGTACACCGTCAAAGTTCACCAGGAAGACAAGTATAAAAATAATGTTCTTAATATTAAAATATCTTGCATACAAAAACAATAACAAAGTGAAATATTTTGTCATGTTTAACCTTTAAACTGCTAACCTATTTAATAGCGGGAAAATAGTATTGAAAGCCCGTGATCACTCGCAGATGGCGATCGACTGGAGTACCGTGTAAGGGCTCCAGATTAATACGGATTGTCTCTCTTATGGAGCAAGATTGTGGACTGTTGGACCACATGAGGAGTGGGAGGCGAGCCTTGAGATGTTTCATGGGCATTGGAGTAGAGTATACACGGACAGTATACAGTATACACGGACTTCGCAAAGGTATTCGATAAATGTGACCACGGAGTGATAGTACACAAAATGAGGTCAATGGGAATAACTGGTAAAGTAGGACGCTGGATACTCAGTTTCCTGTCAAACAGAACACAAAGAGTAACAGTCAATCAAGTAAAAATGAGTCCTACCGTTGTCAAAAGCTCTGTACCTCAAGGTACAGTCCTTGCACCACTGCTGTTCCTTATTCTCATATCAGATATAGACAAAAATACACGTCACAGCTTCGTGTCATCCTTTGCAGATGACACAAAAATCACTATGAAAATTACCTCTGCCGAAGACTGAAAAACTTCAAGCAGATATTAGTAAAGTTTTCGACTGGGCAGCAGAAAATAACATGATGTTTAACAGTGATAAATTACAGGTACTCAGGTACGGTAAAAATGAGGACCTTAAACATAATACAGGGGACAAAACACAATCAAATGTGCCCATAGTAGGAAAACAGCATGTCAAGGATTTGAGAATAATGATGTCTGACGACCTAACGTTTAGGGAGCATAACCAAGCAAATATTGCGTCAGTCAGAAAAATTATAGGATGGATTATGAGAATTTTCAAATCGAGGGATCCCATCACAATGGTTGTACTCTTCAAATCACTTGTGCTGTCCCGTCTCGAGTACTGCTCAGTACTCACTTTTCCCTTCAGAGCAGTAAAGATTGGTGAAATAGAGGGAATACAGAGAACATATAAGGCACGCATAGACGAGATAAAGCACCTAAATTATTGGGATCGTCTCAAAGCTCTCCAAATGTACTCACTAGAAAGGAGACGAGAGAGATAGCAAATAATATACAAATGAAAAATATTGGAGGGCCATACACAAGTCTACACATTAAAATAACAAAATACTGGAGTGAACGATATGGAAGAAAATGCTGAATAGAACCAGTGAAGAGCAGGGGTGCCATAGGCACAATCAGAGAACACTGTATAAACATCAGAGGTCCGCGGTTGTTCAACACCCTCCCTGCGAGCATAAGAAATATTGCCGTAACAACCGTGGACATCTTCAAGAGAAAACTAGAGTTTTCTTCAAGGAGTGCCGGACCAACCGGGCTGTGGTGGATATGTGGACCTGCGGGGCGCTCCAAGCAACAGCCTGGTGGGCCAAACTCTCACAAGTCAAGTCTGGTCTGGGCAGGACTTGAGAAGCAGATCTCCCAGAACCCCATGAAGCAGGTATTAACCCAACCTTAAATGTTACCATGTATCCACGGCCGATGTGACAGATGTGTGTTGTCCAGGACGCCCATGGGACGTCCACGGCCGATCTGACAGGTGTGTGTGTGTTGTCCTGGATAGCCGCAGGTGTGGGGTGGCGGGCGCAGCAGCCCTCTCATTACCTCTAGTTTGTGGTCAGGTGTAGTGGACATTTTTCACTCACTAGGAGGACCCGGCCTGCCACTCTGCCACCTTCACCTTACGGAGGTTCACATTCTGCTACCCCTCACCTGCCCAAACGTTGTGACACCCGCTCCGGACCATTGGCAATGTCATGTGTCATGGGTGGGCGCCTATGTGGAATCCAATGCTCAGGCGGGCGACCAAACTAATATTTCTTTGTGGAAAACAAAGTGTTGAGGAATTGAGTAGGGAAGGGGTGGGGAGGGGGGTGTTGTTGATAGTGTCCTCTATCTCTGTAATGCCTTGTTTGATTTGCTTTTATTGTTTGCTTAAGTAGATTCGCGATTAATCCTAAAACCTGATTTCTTTGCAAAACTATTTGATGAAATAGGTTGAATAATCTGCGTTAGTGTGTGTGTGTGTGTGTGTGTACTCACCTAGTTGTGCTTGAGAGGGGGTTGAGCTCTGGCTCTTTGGTCAAGCCTGTCAACTGTCAATCAACTGGTGCACCTATTAAGCCTGTCAGGCAAGATTTACCCTCCCTGAACCCATGTTGATGGGTTGTCACGAAGTCCCTTCTCTCCAGATGTGTTACTAGGTTTTCTCTCGCGGTCTTCTCCATCACCTTGCATGGTATACAAGTCAAGGACACTGGCCTGTAGTTCAGTGCCTCTTGTCTGTCGCCCTTTTTGTATATTAGGACCACATTAGCCGTCTTCCATATTTCTGGTAGGTCTCCTGTCTCCAGTGACCTACTATACACTATGGAGGGTATAGACGTGTATCCCACACACACTCTCACTGCGTATGTGTGTGTGTGTGTGTGTGTGTGTGTGTGTGTGTGTGTGTGTGTGTGTGTGTGTGTGTGTGTGTGTGTGTGTGTGTGTGTGTGTGTGTGCCGGGGGGGGGGGTGGAGGAAGGTGGAGATGAAGGGGTAGGAGAGAATAAGGTGTTAGGGAAGAACAAGAGGAAGAAGAAGGGAGGATAGCTATTTATCCTCTTCATAAAACTAGATAACTAGATCGTGGCCATATAACTAGATAGCTAGTTATATGACCACGTGACAGTAACAGCTCACGCGGTCACGTGCCCGTGCGAGCTCCGCGCACGCGCCAACACCCTTCAACCCCCCCCCCCCCCCCCCACCCCCAACAGAACTCGCCCCTCATGCCACTACCGTTGTTCAGTCGAACAACGGGGAACACGACCCGTTGTGGCGCCCGTCCCTCGCAGCAGAAGTGAGAGCCGCCCCTGACACGCCCGAGGGAGTGTCACTGATTACTCCTGCCCGGGGGGGGGGGGCGCGGACGCGGTGGAAGGCGCGCATTAGTTTTATTATGTCTGGACCTTTATCACCACCCGGCGGTAGTTATTCTTCCTCCTGCAGCAGCCGGGTCTCCCTGGCCGCCGCGCCCTCTGGCCGCCAGCTCCTGCCACTGTGCTGACTTTCACAGCCCCTCCCACACACTCCCACGTCCTCCCACACACTCCCAGGTCCTCCCACACACTCCCAGGTCCTCCCACACACTCCCAGGTCCTCCCACACACTCCCAGGCCCTCTTACACACTCCCAGGTCCTCCCACACACTCCCAGGCCCTCTTACACACTCCCAGGTCCTCCCACACACTCCCAGGCCCTCCCACACACTCCCAGGTCTTCCCACACACTCCCAGGTCCTCCCACACACTCCCAGGTCCTCCCACACACTCCCAGGTCCTCCCACACACTAAACTGATGGTGGCGGAGAAAGCAGAAAACTCCGTGTTTGAAATGGTGTTACTTAAAATATGGATTTTTTTCCCCATAAATATTCTCTTATTGGTATTACGGGTAATTACTGGCCTGGTAAACAGGGTTTTTATGATCTGTGGAATAGTATACCTGGTAACATAATTGACGTGGGATCACTTGATTGTTTCAAGCGTAGGTTAGACATACGAATGAGTTTTTGTTGGATATAAATATTACCCGCCTCGTGTGGGCTAATAAGCCTTTTGCAATTTCCTTAATTCAAATGTTCTTATGTACTTAAGAACATATAACAAGCACGGAAATAACTTAATCTAACCTGTCCTATTCCCAACACAATATTAGTCCAAATTCTTCACATATATACATTAAGAAAAGACCCGAAATTTGGTTGGTGCCCATTTTATCTGGAATTGTTCAACATTAATACTTCCAAACGAGAATTTTTGGAGAGCAACAATGAGTGTGTTGGAGACCCCAGCCGCGGTCTGGAGACCCCAGCCGCGGTCTGGAGACCCCAGCCGCGGTCTGGAGACCCCAGCCGCGGTCTGGAGACCCCAGCCGCGGTCTGGAGACCCCAGCCGCGGTCTTTACGGGAGCCGTCATGTATGGGGGGACAGGTTCCTGTATCACACTCCATAATTATAATTAACAAATATCACACTAAATTACAAGGCTCATAAATTTATTAAGAAAAATGTGAAAATATATATATATATATATATATATATATATATATATATATATATATATATATATATATATATATATATATATATATATATATAATGTTTTAATTAGAATTAAAACTAATGTAGCAATATGACCTAACCTATGCTAACCTACCTAATTTAAATTATTTAATTTTAAATAACGAAAATCACACTACCTGCTAGACAAATTGGTCCGAGTAGTGAATTCTGGCTATTAGGCACGATATAACTAAATATATATATATAATATATATTATATATATATATTTATATATATAATATATATATAATATATATATAATATTTATATATATGTATATTAAACATATATAATAAATATATATATAATGTGTATATATATGATATATATAATATATATATATATAATAAATATATAATTTATATAATATATATAAATAATATATATAAATATGTATATAATATATATTATATGTATATGTATATTATATGTATATATTATATATATAATATATACATATTATATGTATATAATATATATTATATATATATATATTATATATTATATATATATATATATTATATATATTATATATTATATATTATATATATTATATATTATATATATATATATATATATATATATTATATATATATATATATATATATATATATATATATATATATATATATATATATATATATATATATTAATTTTTCAGAATGCTGGTCGAGCCTCGAGTCATTGAGAACGCCAGCCTGATGCTCTAACTTGTGAGCCCCGGATGTCCCAATAGCAAGGAAGGCAGGAGGTACTAAAGTCATACCAACCCTGCATACTCAGCCTTGCCGGACATCTCACAGGTAACCAGAGGCTGATTGCTCTCCCACACTCTTCCTTCCCTACACTCTGAACTTCGCAAATAACGAGTGAATGTAGCAATTCTTTTTTTTCCTTCCAGAGTGGTGGGAGAGGCGGGTCGGTCCGTCGTATGTGGGGGGAGACTGGGGGTGCCTTCGTCAGGGGCACACAGGGGGCGTGTACCACATACTTGGCCTAGAGAGAGAGAGAGAGAGAGAGAGAGAGAGAGAGAGAGAGAGGGGGGTATATACATATAAGATAAAATATGTAATATAGATCTCGTACCTAATAGCCGAAAACACAGTAACTGGCCCAATAAGCAAGGTCCTATTTGCTTTGCTTTACACGGTTCCAATAGCAGGCAAAGCGATTTTAGTTTAATATATATATCTTTCTAAATTGGTTCATTCTTATCAATATTAATATGTTAAGAACACTAGTTAATGACTTAGGTTAGTAAGGTTCGATTGGGCTAGGTTTGGTCACATTTCTATGTAAATTTTTAGTACAAAAATTATAATAATATATAATACAACGAAAAAAATTCTACATCTGTAAATTTCAATGAGTATTAAAGGCTGTAGGTCAGCCACTAGCCTCACCCATTTTTCACCCTGATTCCTGTGGGGTACGTGCCTAACATAGTCGGGTCGGGATTGGCGTAAGTGAAACGAGCGCTAGTTGCAACCCGTTCTCGCAAATTTAATAAGTCAATATTGACTTATTAAATATGTGCATAGGTGACATACTTAACATAATAGATACCCTTAAAAAGATTCATAGAAAACACCGACCTTACCTAACCTTCTTGAGGTTATCTTGAGATGATTTCGGGGCTTTTTAGTGTCCCCGCGGCCCGGTCCTCGACCAGGCCTCCACCCCCAGGAAGCAGCCCGTGACAGCTGACTAACACCCAGGTACCTATTTTACTGCTAGGTAACAGGGACATAGGGTGAAAGAAACTCTGCCCATTGTTTCTCGCCGGCGCCTGGGATCGAACCCAAGACCACAGGATCACAAGTCCCGCGTGCTGTCCGCTCGGCCGACCGACCCTCGGCCCTAGTAGGCTCTCCCGACCTTGTTAGTATCTTAAGATAAGCATCTTATTGCTTCGTAATTACAATTATTACTTAACCTATACCTATTATAGGTTAGGTAATAATTGTAATTACGAAGCAATAAGATGCTTATCTTAAGATACTAACAAGGTTAGGTAAGGTCAGTGTTTTCTATGAATCTTTTTAAGGGTATCTATTATGTTTAGTATATCACCTATGCACGTAGTTAATAAGTCAATATTGACTTTACGAATTTGCGAGAACGGGTTGCTACTTGACACGGTGTCAACGGGAATTCCACCACGACTCTCGGAGTGTCATATTAACTAGACTCAGGAATAATTTTGTTTCTCCATCATTTTTCTTTTGTTCTTTTCATAACATAAAACACTACCCACTGACGTCTTCAAAATGTCTTAAAAAGTATAACTGTCACATGCCGGTAACAAGTATTCATGATGTCATTCTACCCCGTCCTCACCAGCTGATGCCTCTAAATGTCAGTCTTCCACCTCTCTTTTCTTCTTGAAGAAGAAGAGAGAGGTTGAAGAGAGATTGCTCCCTGGAGCAATCTTCTTGAACACGTCGCCAACGCGTTCACGCCCGCTTCGGGACTCGTATTCAGATGGTAGAATTAAGTGACCACTCTACCTTCCGCGTGTCAGTCCTCCGCATCTCTACTACGGCGCGAAGTGGGGGATGGGATAGAACAGACTTTTAGAGTGGTTAGTGTTCGGGTGGTGCAGGTTGCAGAGGTCCACACGTCACAGTGAGGGGGGGGGAGGGGTTGCACACTGCAGAGGTTCACACGTCACAATTAGGAACATCCAACCCATCATTTCTGATCCTCCCCGGGGACGCAGACCTGAGAATTTTTCATCATAAATTACGAAGATTAGTGTGACCACCAGGCTCTGGGGGCTCCCTGGACCTGGTCTGGGGGCTCCCTGGACCTGGTCTGGGGGCTCCCCTGGACCTGGTCTGGGGGCTCCCTGGACCTGGTCTGGGGGGCTCCCTGGACCTGGTCTGGGGGCTCCCCTGGACCTGGTCTGGGGGCTCCCCTGGACCTGGTCTGGGGGCTCCCCTGGACCTGGTCTGGGGGCTCCCCTGGACCTGGTCTGGGGGCTTCCCTGGACCTGGTCTGGGGGCTCCCCTGGACCTGGTCTGGGGGCTCCCCTGGACCTGGTCTGGGGGGCTCCCCTGGACCTGGTCTGGGGGCTCCCTGGACCTGGTCTGGGGGCTCCCCTGGACCTGGTCTGGGGGCTTCCCTGGACCTGGTCTGGGGGCTCCCCTGGACCTGGTCTGGGGGGCTCCCTGGACCTGGTCTGGGGGCTCCCCTGGACCTGGTCTGGGGGGCTCCCTGGACCTGGTCTGGGGGCTCCCCTGGGGCTCCCTGGACCTGGTCTGGTGCTCCCTGGACCTGGTCTGGGGGGCTCCCTGGACCTGGTCTGGGGGCTCCCCTGGGGCTCCCTGGACCTGGTCTGGTGCTCCCTGGACCTGGTCTGGGGTCTCCCCTGGACCTGGTCTGGGGCTCCCTGGACCTGGTCCAGTGAAACCATTGGACCAGGTCAACTTACCACTACGCCACAACAGTCTCCGTGGTGTAGTGGTAAGACACTCGCCTAGCGTTCCGCGAGCGCTTTGTCATGGGTTCGTATCCTGGCCGGGGAGAATATACTGGACGCAAATCCTTAACTGTAGCCTCTGTTTAACTCAACAGTAAAATGGGTACTTGGTTGTAACAACGATTCTTCGCGGGGGTCGTATTCCAGGGACCATAGGGTTAAGGACCTGCCCGAAACGCTACGCGTACTAGTGGCTGTACAAGAATGTAACAACTCTTGTAAATATAAGTAAATAAATATACAAATATCCCTACTATAAAATTACTCAGCGAGAGAACACACACAACACGTGTGATTCCTTCACAACCCAGAGACCTGTGAAGCAGCTCCTTCAAGTTCAAGTATGTTTATTGAGATAAGAAAGAAATACATCTCAAAGGGATATAGTAGTTTAGGCTATTTCTACCCCCCCCCCCCTCACAAGCAGCTCCTGCTGACCACCGAAGGTCATCTAGCAATACCAACATTGTACTCTCACATAACTCCTCTCGGAGTAACGAAAATGAAACATGAAATACACTTAAGTAAATTATACAACTCGGGAACACGGGCAGATGATCAACAACACAAAATTTGCATAATACATATAGATACACAACAGAAACAATAAGCTACCACCCACACACTCAGACACACTCAGACAGTGTCTGAGTGTGTGACAGTAGCAGCGACCGTGCCTCTTGACAGGTGTGGATAATCTCATGTGTAATGTATACACATATACACACGTGTAAATAATGACATTTCAAGATAAAAATTGCATAAATTTAAATACTGCGGAGTATTTAAATGTAAACCTTAACACTTGAAGGTATGACTTCAGCGTATCCAGTCTGAACTGATTAGGCAAGGGTCATAACAGGGGCTTCAGAGGACAGATCTGGCGTGATATCGTGGTCCCCGTGGCGCAGTGGTAACACGCTCGCCCCGCGCTTCGATAGAGATTTGGCCTGGGTTCGTATCCTGGCCGGGGGGAGGATTGACTAGACGGGAATCCCTAACTGTAGCCTTTGTCCATTCAGCAACAAATAGGCACCTGGTTGTTAAACGCTTTGATGGGTCGTATTCCAGGGAAAATTAAGATTAAGAACCTGCCAGAAACGCTATGCGTGCTTTACAAGAATGTAAGACCTTTTGTATATTACTAAATATAAACTTTCAACCGCCAGATCTTTCTCTCCTCTTCTTGAACGATTTCATCTCCCAAATGGTACTTTGTATCTGGCCACCTACTCCTTACACGTATCTTCGTTAGGTTACATTTGCTCGGGTTAAACTCTAATAGCCATTTGTCAGACTATTCCTTCAGTTTGTCCAGGTCATCTTGTAGCTTCATGCTGTTTTCTTCTGTCTTAATAGTTCTCATAATTTTGGCATCATCAGCAAACATTGAAAGGAATCAGTCTATACCTTCTGGAAGATCATTTACGTATGAAAAAACAGGATAGTCCAAGTACAGAACACTGAGGGGACTCGGCTGGTGACTTCACACCATTCTGAAACCTCACCCCTCACAGTAACTCTCTGCTTCATATTGCTTAGGTACTCTCTTATCCACTGGAGTACCTTACCAATTAATCCTTCCTATTTCATCAGCTTATGGACAAGCTTCAAATGGGGTACAGTGTCAAAGGATTTCTGACAGTCGAAGAAAATACAGTCTAACCTCTCTCTTCCTTGCTTAATTTTTGCCTCTTGGTCGTAGAATTTTATTAGACCTGTGAGGCAAGATTTACCCTCCCTGAACCCATGAAGATGGGGAGTCACAAAGTCCCTTCTCTCCAGATATGTTACTAGTTTTTTTCTCACGATCTTCTCCATCACCTTACATGGTATACAAGTTAGGGACACTGGCCTGTAGTTCAATGCCTCTTGCCTGTCACCATTTTGCGCCGTGGTCTGGAGACCACAGTTTAGAAAGTCTGGAGACCACGGTCCAAGTCAGGTCCAAACAATCCGCGGACCTGGTCTGGAGACATCTTGAGACGGCGTCATGGACTCTGAAGGTTCTTTGGATTCGTCTGGAAACATTTCGTTAAAGGCTCTTTGATATATTTACGGACTGTGTCGTAAGCGTTCTTGGAGACTTCATGTAAACATCTTGAGCAAATTTTGATAACTTGTGAACTTTTTCCGACCTGGTTTTGGAACATCTCTGGAAATCTTTGTGTCAGATACCATATAAATAAGTCAAGGATAGTTATCACTGCCAGACTTAGAGGTCGTAGTTAGCAGCGACCTGAGGTCCAGACAACAACGGTGCTGGGATTTATAACTACAGCAGCAGCAGCTAAAGCCCATCATCCTTCAGCTACAGTC